AGATATTCAAATCAATACTAAGGTTATTAAAATTGCACTGAATATTTCACCTGGAGAAAGGTATATTGGTAGTTGTAAGTATTTTCCGTGTAGAGAATGCTGCTGTTTTTTCTTGGTAGTGTACCAGAAATCTTACTAAAAAATATGAAAGAAATAAGGGTTGAAAAACAGGGAAAAGTTCTCCTTTGTTTTGTTTTCTGCTGTTTTTCTTAACAAAGTTCATTATATTTGATTAAGATAGAAGTCCTGGTTACAGTTCCATACATAGGAGTCTGGGAGATAGGTTTTTGAAAGTTACATGAATTTATTTTGTTTTCTACATATTGTAGTGGGTTGGATTTTTTCAGTGCAACATATTAATATTTTTTCATGTCTTTAGACTTTTTGCTGTTTTTTAATAAGCACAGCTTTTAGTCATTATTTTTTTTACTTCTAAATCACATCTCCAATTAACCTGGAAGTTATATACAAGATTTTTATAGGATCATCAAACAGATTTGATACAATGTGAAAATAATGAAAAAGTTTGCTAGGGTTCAGGGCTATTTTTTGCTGTTGGTTGAATGCACTTGATGCTAGAGCATAAAAGCCTCCTGCAGGTGTATGTACACTTTTAAAACGACTGTGATATACCAGTGCTTTTTTTACTCTTTTGAAATTAAATTTTATCATATTGATATTATGGAATATAAACTATTCATGTTATGGACTGAGAGGATATCAATACCTAGTTGATACTAGGTATAATTAAGATAGAGCAGTCTTTTTGAAATTTGTAGCAGTTTAGTTTGGAGAAGAACAATTTCTAGTAGCATTTCTGGGTTTATGTGTAGCAGTTGGTTAATCTTAGAATAATAGAAGTGAAACAATGAAATATAAATGTTCTTCTTCAAGATTTGATAGCTGAAAAAGAGAAGGACATAAATTCAGTCAGCATTTGTGGATAAAGTTTAGTAACCCTCTGCAGTTCAGGAGTTCAGAAACTGTTTCAAATGTTGTTATGCTTCTGAATTTATTTAATCTAACTTCAAAAAGGGATTCTAATGAAGAAGAATTACTGAAAAGTAATCTGAAAACCTTAAAAAGTACATGAAAAGAGAAAATGTCTCAGAACCCAAAATTAGTACCATGTAGTCTGGATGTTTGTGTGATGTTTTTCCTTGAAATTGAAATAGTTATTTTCATCTTCTTTTATTTTCACCTTTCTGCCCATTTCTGTTCCTTTTCCCCCTTTCTGTTGGATTCTTTTTTTCTGTTTCACCTTTCCTTTGTGATCTCTATAACAACCTAACTTGAAAGAGAGTTTATCTGAAAATATCAGTTCACCAAAATTGTAATATCGTCAAGAAAATTACCCTGTTCAGAGATAGCTTAGTGATTTATTTTTTTAAAAAATTCTTCTCTCAACCTTCTCTATGTTATTTGTGGTACCAGTACCACTGAAAATACCAAACATTGACATTATGTTTTGGTGACCATTTTGAGTGTTTTTTGGATATGGTATTTGCTCCATCTTTTGGTTCATGCCCTGGTTTTATCCATGCTGCGTTGTGATGTGCTGGATAAGTCAGTTCATCTTTCTCATATTTACGTATATTGGGAAAATTCTAAGAATTGTTCCTTGACTGGAGGAAGCTCAACTGAGCTGTGCCCTTCAACATTAAAATTGTTCTTTGTCTGGAGGTTATATGCTGTCCCTGACCTTGACCTTTCACCATCTAGGTCTAAATACTTGTAAAAACACTCTTAAATGGTGTAATGTAACAATGCTCACTCAGTGTTCATAATTCATTCCATGTAAACGCATATAGATAACTCACAATTCCCATCAGGATAACCATAGCTTGGTAAGAATTTACTTGGGACAGCAAGGATTTTAGAGTATGGTTACTCAACTGAGAATCTATTGGCATTTGTATTGAGTGTCATTACAAACTATTAGGTTAAAATCTCTAATCATGCTAATGTTGGGAAACATGACTGTTCAGTCTTAAAATATTTTAAAATGGATTTTTGGCCTCCATGTAGAAATGTTGCAGTATAACATGTGGTTTTTATATTTTTGCCTCCAGAGTGTTAGGGAATTTCTTCCATCATGCTTTAGCCCTTTGGGGACTTTTGTTGTTTTTATTCTGTTGGGTTTTTTGTGGTTTTCTCTTTTTTATTTATTTGTAAATCCAACCAAAACAACCCCAAACACAACAAAAAACCCCAAAACATTTGTGTTCAATTTCTTCATTCTGATATAATTTGTGTATACCCACTACTATGTAATTTTGTGGATTTAGGCTTATTACTAGCTTACCTTTTCTGTAGCTCTCCCAGATTTCTCATGGTCTCCTTCATAATGGTGTTGAGATGCTTAAAGCAAACTTTGGTTAAGGACTGATACATGGAGAATGCAACATATGCTTGTCTGGTGTACATTTGGTGTACCAAATTTTAATTATATTAACCATGTGAGGGCAAAGCACATAGTGTGTGTAAGTATTTGCTCCTGCCTCTTCAAGGAAAAATGCCTGTCAGTAAATCACATTTTTGTCATTCAGTTTCCTGTAGAGAATGTTACTGAAATGTACAGGGTTTTCTTACAGAATAAATGTAACAACTGAAATCCTAATGAATAAATCAATAAAGTACCAATCAGTACTTTTAATTTCAGAGTTGTCCTCCTTACCAGATGTTTCTACTACTACCCATCTTATGCTTCTCTCGTTATTTCTTACATGTGGGGATAAATCTTGCTTTAAATTTATTTCACTGAGGCAAAAATGTAATTGAAACACATTGGGATCAATACAAACTATATAAAAAGCCATGAATTATTTTTCTAGCCCACTAGATACTAATATCTAGGCACTGGTATCTCAAGAAATGCTATAATAATTTTTCTTCCGATGAGTAAGTAAATATTTCAGCACAGAAAGAAAAATATGTTTCTCTTTTCCTTGTATTCTTTCCTGTAGGAAGAATTTTTTTGATCCTTCTTTCATTTTTTTCCTCTTAAACTCATCAGTCATGATCTTTTGTACCAGATGAGCACAGAGTATTAATGTCACTATGGTTTTAATATAAAGGCAGACACATGCACAGGAATATATTGATTTGGAGTAGTTATTTTACATAAAATGCTTTTTTTCACACTTGAAAAATGAGGGCTAGATTTGTGAAATCCTTTCAGCATGTCACTAGCATGCTAAAGATGGACTTCTGAGAACATTCAAATGTGTACGAATCTGTTCCACTTGCTGAGACTTCCCCCTCAGAATGGCTAATTCGTGTTGCTTCCCTTTTAAAATTCTAAATACCAAAAATTTGTTGGTCAAATGAAGGTTTCTTGACCTTTCTCATTGCAATGTCTGTTTTTACTATGATTCAAATTATACAGAAGCAGCGGGAACAATTTCACAGAACTTCACTGTTTCATTTGAGGCGTTTTCCCGTGGCTTCCCCTCCTGCAGCCTCTGTTGCAATGTGTCGTTGTTGTTGGGTTCTTTTACCCCAGTATGTGGGAAGGTGAGCTGGTTTATTCTGTCAGTTCCGTTCTGGTTTGATTTGCACAGGATTGAAACCATTTCAGTTTAATTTCAGTTTAAGTAAAAAGAGTTTGCTACAACCAGATGGGTTTTCATGGGACAAGATGTTTAAAGGTGGAACCAGTCAAATGTCTCCCAGCGTGGGGCTCTGGGGCCTTCACCTGCTCTCTCTTCTATATCTGCCTAGGTATCAGGAATGTTTGAGATCTGTAATTCTGCACCAAATAAAAAGGTATGAAAAACCTCCTTGCTGGGGTGTGCAGGTAGGATGCAGGAGCCCAGCAAGGGGATTGAGGGCTTATCGAGGCTTGTGTTTGCCTGTGGATGAACTGGGCCATAAGACAGAGGAGTTGGAGGAAAGGCTGTAAGACACTGCTGCTCTGCAGTCCTTGGTGAACACAAACTCCCCCTGTAACCACAGTGGCTCTGCCTTAAACTGTCAGGGTTTTGTTGAACCATTTGTTCTGCATTGGCAACCAGGAATATTTTTCTTGGTTCAGTTTCCATTATAGCTCAAACTGTATAGCAATCAATATGAATTCCAATTTCATTTTGATTTATATCCAAAGACTTGATAAATGTGTACACTGTTCTGAAAAGGGAAGCAAATGTGTGCACGACTGCCCACTCTGTGTATCGTTAGTGAAAGACTGAACTTCACTTGCTACGTGATGCAAGATGTTTGAAAATATACATGTGTACCAGTGTCTAATGGATCAAACAAGCTAAAAGTGATATGTAGAGGATTCTGCAACAGATCATTCTTTGTCTGATTTTGGGTTGTACATATATGAACGTTCAGGTAGATTAAATAAAAACAGAAGGAGTTCCACAGTTAAAATACTCTGAATTATAAAGAATCCTGAGTAAAACCTTAGAAAGGGTATAACATTTCACAAGAGACTATCTGCAGCAAACCCCTATATGAATGAAATTTTTCAGGTAGCTGTGTTTTGGTGTGACTGGGTTTTTTCCCACCAGATGTTAGAGGTAAGGAATAATAACTACTACAGAGAGTTCTGGATATTATTAAAAGGACTGAAATACCACTGAATTGCTGTCATTCAGTAAACATTACTTCAGTAATTGCATAAAAATCTTGTGATTGTGTACCAAGTTAAAGTTGTATGTACAGCATTTTAAATGTCTCTGTTTTTCTAATCTTTTATATTTGATGTGTAATTTAGAAATGCCTTTTTGTTTCAGTTTCTTGCAATCAAGTGCAATATTAGGAAATACCTCCATTTTAATGTTAAGGATGATTTGAAAAGTGCTGCTCTGTGCAAAATAACATCCAGCATGGAAGCAACTTTATTTTGCGTGTTATCAAAAATCATTTTCAGTATTGGAGTTGCAGGGTGCTGCACAATGCTCAAACAATCTATTTTTCTATCAGAAGGAACACTTGGTTATAAAGATGTTATCCATTATTTCAAAAATGCACCTTTGTTTTTCTTTTTTCAGCGTCTTGTTGAAGCTGCAGAAGATGCTTACCTGAAACATGAATTTGATGCTGACTTACAGGTAATTAATAATTACTTTCTAAATGTTTATCATCAGAGTATTGTATATGAGTTTATATAATAGCTTGCTTGAAGAGCTGCTGTGGAAAGCCAATCATGTGAGTAATAGAAGGATGCTGATTACAGAAAATGGAATTGATGAAGGCTGGCTCAGTACTTTGACAGGTTCTGCATTTAGTGCTTGTGTGTTGGGACATCAAGCAGGTGGATTTTACTCTTTCTGAGATTTCATTTTAATTCCCTTACATATCTGCGTAGGTCAAGAGTTTTAAACACAGTAATTAGCAGCGTGTTCCGTCGCTGCAGTGTACTGGCAAGAAATTGCTCTATAGAGAGTTGGATTTGCAGATGGGGTAGGACCCACAGGGATGGGATTAGTATGACCTTGATTTGTGCAAATGGTTTGCATTTGGATCTGTGGCTAGAGCAGACACTGGATTTTGTCTTACCTAGAAGCCCTTAGAAATGTACCACTACAGTGTGTTGCCTTTAGGAATAACACAGGAGGGAGCAGCACTGTGGCAGCTCACAGTTAAAAATGTCTTAAAGGAAATCCTTTGCTTAAATAAGACACATAATTTTTTTAAAAAAAGAAAAAAAAGGTAATTTAGAAAGCAAGTTATTTAGCCTAAAACTGAAAGTTTAACAGAAGGTTTTACTCAATGAGTAAATGAGTAGATGAGTAGATACCTCCTTACCTTTAGTGAATTCCTATATCCCTGGTTACTTGAATGCCATGTTAGATGGAGTTTTATTTACTTTGTTTCTATCTAGATTTAATTTTCAAACCTTCTGTGAATATTTGCCATAAGCCTATTTAAATTTGGGGCTTAGGCATTAAAAGAAACAGAGACTTTTCCCCATACATTATCTAAGAAATAAACAGTTCTGTTTTCAGATTTTACCATGGTTACTTCCAGCAATAACAAAAATTTTATTTTAATTAAAATATAGCGCAAATTACTAATTTCTGTGTAGTAAGGAAAAAAATAGAGTGAACTTACCAGAGCCAAAGATAAAAAAATTGAGTTTAGAGGACTGTGATACTGAGATCTGTCAGGCCATGCTGGAGTAAGGATAAAATGAGCCCACTGAAAATGATAATTGATATTATTGTTGTATTCACTGAGTGCTGGCTTCTGTAGTCAAACCCTTTAGAGTTCTATTACATTCCAGCCTTGCAGAGGTGTGCTGCATTTTATTTTTTTTTTGGACTTAAAGAAATAGGAGCTATTGTCTGAATAAATCAGAAACACACTTTAGAGAAGATCTTTTAGAGGGCTACAGTAAGTGCTTCTTCACTGCAGGATAGTTCTCCTTTTGACAAAGTCCTTCATTTGCTGAGGCTCTGGCGATATTAACACTTTGAGGAAGCCAGTTAAAAGCCATTTGTGTCAGCAGCATTAACAGGACAATCAAATCTTTGTGTGGTGCTCCGTTGTTTATTACTGTCACGGTCCATTAAAGCTAATCAATTGTTAATCTTGGTTTCAGCGACCCCTTTGCAACCCTTGCTGGGTGATTGTTGTTCTTTATCAAAAATCTCATAATACCATCTGCTCAATATAAAATAATGGCCAGGATGATTTGATAGTGTACATTCAAGTGGAGGGGGACAGAAGGCTTATATAATATACAGTGTATAGAATTCTGCTATCAAAGAGGAATTTTTTGGCATTTGTATTGCTTTGGCCGACGTGTGGAAGACAGGATTAAATGCTTTGAATTTGTGATATGTGATACAGCACCAGCCGGTGCTCTTTGTGCTCAGATACTCTGGAAATTCAGAGAGCACATAAAGAAAGTGCTTTTACGTTTTTTATTTGTCCAACATCACCTTCTATATCTTGAGGACAGTATAGATAATATTGTGTTAGTATATAAAAATGATATAAGGGTAAAATAAAATTATATTAATATTTTTATTGACTGTAGAAAAGCACCAACTTAAAATAATAACTGGAAGAGTTCACCTTTTAGATTGCTGGTATTCTCTTCAGCAATGCTGAAACTGTATTACTTGGTTAGGCTAGACTCGATCCCTTCTGGGCATTTTTCTTAGTAACATTATTAGTTCTGTGCTTAGTTATTCCATAGGTATTCTAATCAATATACTCTAATGCTGTGTAATCGTCTAAGCACAGAATTGTCCATCCCTGGACTGAATCTATTGGCACCACCAACACAAACCTTGTAGTTATAAACATAAATAAAATTCCCAGAGAACTGAAAGAAATAAATCCAAACGGGTGATGTGATGTTTAACTCATCAGCATTATATATTGCATGTTTGAGTAATGGCCAAACTACGAATCAGTGAGAGCAGAACTTAAAGATTTACCTTGCAGTATTTGGGCTTTGGGAGATTCCTTTTTTTCCTTTTTTTCTGTTAGGGTTGTGAACCAAGAGCTCCAGTTGCAGCAAGTAATGTTACTTATATTTGAGCCTTTAACCCAATCTGGGGTTTTCTCACCTGATGGGTATGGTTGCAAGATATTCTGTGTTACTAAATACTATTTTCAAGTTTGTAAGTGGAGCTATTTTCTTTAGTCATGCCTAATAATGTATTTGGGGTTGTAAGACAAATTACCTTTTGTATTGCTAGAGCAAGTTGCCTTGTCATAGTATATTCACGGGTGTAAAGAATTGCTCCTCTTGCTTTATACAGGGCACTGTGTCTGTGCTCACCTCTGTTTTACATGAAGCAATTCCTCCTGATTTTGTGACTTTAACACAATGAAAAAAACCAAACAATATAGAGGTCAGCTGCCAAGCACAGGCCCAGCAAGAGTATTGGATGTTGCAGTCTACAACCATCCTTAAGTTTTCTTGGCTTAATTGTTTGCCAGAGAAAATTTTTTGGAGAAAGATAAAGAGGGTATCATCTTCTGTTAGGAGATGATCTATTAAATATAAATTTCTAATAATTTATCACCACTGGTAACCAGAATTTGGCCTCTTGATGTTTTATTGCCTTTGTGCTTGGGTATCTGTTTCCCAAGATGTGAACTGCCTTGTTATGCTTGACAGAAATGCTGTGGTGGAGTTTGTGTTCAGACCCCTGGAAGAGGCTCTGAAGTGGAAAACTCTTCCCTGGAGCTGTCATGTACCTAAGAATTTGTTGCATATGCAGCTGATACGAGCACATATGTTTAGAGGCTTTGACCTTCCACTCCATTTCCTCAAATCACTAGAAACTGGACGGATTTTGTAGGGTAAAAATACCCCAACGTGATACCCAGCTGCTGCTCATGCAGTTGGTGGTGAGGTGGTAAAGCACACTCAGACTGCAGCTGTGGGGGCTGTGTTGGCTCCTGAGTCCTCTACAATACTGTGCTATCTATGCAATAGTATCTGAGCTCTTTGAACAGAAAAAATTACCATCCAAACCGAGTGAGTAGAGGATCTCTGTCACAGAGTTGGATTATTTCTGGGTTTCCATAGTCTCGGGAGGTGGGTGCTCAGCAGTGGGACTGTTGCTGGAGTTCTCAATGGAGCAGTAAAAGTAACTTGTGCTTTGTTTCTTACAAACTTTAAAAAAAATAATTTGAGACTAAAGATTTACAATACTTGATTCCTACCCAGTTTTCATACCTCTGACCACAATGACAGGAGGAAGCCATACAAAATTTCATTGTGACTACTTGTTCGTTTGCTGACTGGTTTCATTATAAATACACATCTGCAGGGTAGTTCTTTTATTTTCGCTGTGTTAATTAAGTTCATTAGTTCACTTGCCTTGCAT